GAGAGAGAGAGAGAGAGACACGGAGAGAGAGAGAGAGAGAGAGAGAGAGAGAGAGAGAGAGAGAGAGAGAGAGAGAGAGGCTCAACCCTTCTGCAACCTCCTCCCTCTGTTGCTCTCCCTCCTCTCTGTGGCAGTTGGAGCCCTGACGGGAGCACTTGTTTTTACTTCCTAGAAAAACATCAATTGCGCAATTTTTTTACTGAAAAAAACACCGCCATCAAATTTTCGGGATGGTTCTCAAGGTTTTGCAGGGCGATCATTCCTTTTTTTTCTTTTTTTTTTTCTTTTTTTTTCTTTTTTTTTCTTTTTTGCAGGGTGATCATTCTTCGATATCGTTTTTTTTGTTTTTGCAGGGTGATCATTCTTCGTGATGATCTCAAGAGGATTGCCTACTGGAACCGGAGGGCGAGGTATCACCAGCAAAGAGGGGTGGATTAGGCGGCTGAAGCTGGACGGATTTTAAGAAGAGATGCAGAAAAGCAGAAAAATAGCGATTTTCTGCACCTCACCAGAAAGACGTCCAGTTTCAGGCGTTAAATCCAATCTTCCGTCCTACTGGGACCTCTCCCAAGGTTTCCCATCTTTTTAAGCATTATATCGTATTGCTATATATGACATTTGTTTAGATTATATTTATTTATTCATCTTTTTTTTTTTTTCTTTTTTTTTTTCAAAAACTACGCTATATTCTTCTCTCAAATCTTTCATCATCTCTCATATTCTTTCAACTCATCTTCACTACCTCCCTACCACTACTCCTAAGGCTTACTTAGACAGGGGACCCCTGCGAAAAATTCACTACCTCCCTACCACTACTCCTAAGGCTTACTTAGACAGGGGACCCCTGCGAAAAACATAGCTTTGTTGTCTCCCTCCAGCACCCCATCAGAGGGAATGCATGTTGCGCCCCCACCACCTCCTCCCCCCCTCCCCCCCACATGGTGGTCAAGGATGGGGTGGGTTCGCCGGTGGGGGGTCCGGCTAACGCAAAGACCGAGCATTTGCCAGTAGCTGCGTCTCCCTTATTATATTTATTTTTATTATTTTTTATTATATTTATTATATTTATATTTACTATTTATTATATTTAAATTTATTATTTATTATATTTTTTATATATTTATTATTTATTATATTACATTATATCATATTACATTACAGTGATTATACGTTATATTACATTAAATTATATAACATTTATTATGTTACATTACATTATATTAGATTATGTTATACTACATTATATTATCCTATATTGCATCAGATTTTTATTTATTTTTTTCCCATAATTTTATTATTATTATTATTATTATTATTATTATTATTATTATTATTATTTTCCCATTTTATTTACAGAAAGGATTTTTTCTGGGCTTTGTAGACGAGGTCAAGCCTAGTTAGTAGTTTTATATGGTCTAATCTTTGTTTTTTTTGTTTTTTTTTCTTCTATCCATTTTTCATTGCCTGGTCTAATAATCAGTTCATGGCTGATCCGCTGTCCATCCGACCACATTCAGCACACCAAAAAAAAAAAAAAAAAAAGGTCATTTGTCAGTGCTGCTACTATTGCTGGCTTCATCTATGGCCTGGGTCGCTGCTTGAGAGATAGTCCGAGTGACGAGCAGCGTCGCGACCGCCCCCACTCCATACAGGATCAGCTTGATGAGAGAGCTTTCCTCCCCTCCTCCTCCTCCTCCTCCCCCCTCCAGACCAATCATCCCTACTGGTGACGTGGCCGAGGATACGGCATCGACCGCAGCTTTGCCTGCTCCTCCGAGATACACGTAGGCGAACGTGCCAGGGAGCATCCCGACCCACGACGCGGCAACGAACTGCCAAAACCCGATCCCGGTTAAGCCTAATCCGTAATTAGATAAGCCAAAAGGGAAGAGAGGAGAGAGTCTGAGGAGGAAGACGATCCTCCACCCTTGACTGGCGATGGCGGCGTCGATGGCAGTAAATTTGTCGTATTTGTCTAAGGCCTGACGAACGACCGGTCGTGCGAGGTATCGAGAGATCAGAAAGGCGGTAGCTGCACCAGTTGTCGAGGAGATCGAGACCAGACCCGTCCCGACCAGCGGACCGAATAGGTATCCCGCGGCTATGGTGAGAACGGACGCCGGGATGAAGAAGACGGTGCACGTTACGTAAGCGACGGCGAAGTAGAGCGGAGCCAGCTCCCCTGCTTCTGATATCCTCCCCTCCATCCAATCAATCAAATCCCCAGGACCGACAGCAAAGATGGAATCTCCACTTCCAATTTGTTGATTAGCAATCAGAGCAGCGATCAGTACTCCGGTAATCGCAGCGGCCGCAGTGCCAATCATCATCMCCCCCCCCCCTGTTCGTTCAGAAGCTGCTGGTGATGGCGGTGGCGGCTGCGGCAGCGGCGGGGGATTTAATGTTGACGACTGACCAAAAGAGATGCCACCGTCGGCACCGCCTGTGAGATCCTCATCATCATCATCATCATCATTAGATGACGTGGCATTTGATGACGACGTATCATTTGACGATGGCGTGGCAGCATTTGACGACGTGTTAGCACTTGATGACGTGGCAGCATTTGATGACGTGGCAGCACTTGATGACGTGGCATTTGATGATTGAGTGGTGTTATTTGATGACGTGAAACTTGATGACGTGAAACTTGATGCCGTGGCAGTTGATGGCGGGTCATTCTTGGGTGCTTTTCTGGGCTCCTCGCCAGGGGTATTACTGTCATAACTACTACTGCCAGGGGTATTACTGTCACAAGGAGTGCTACGGATATCCCTTCTTTGCCCTTCGACTGAATCTGATGAGATCAAGCCACGCGGCCGAGCAGGAGACAAGGTTTCATCTCCCTCTCCCTCTTGTGCTTCTCCTTCTTCTTCTTCTTCTTCCTCCTCTTCTTCTTCGTCTTCATGTCCCCGATCCGCAGCAAGCATGCTGCCTACCGGTAGTCCGTTGCTGCCTACCGGTAGTACGTTGCTGCTGCTGCTGGCTTGTTGGTCGTCGTAAGGCATCGCCCGGGCGGGCCAAGTGCAAATCCTCCGTCGTTGATTATCTATCTCAGCCGTTGATATCCACCAGCAAATCTTTCTCTGCTGATGACGATGATCATTATGATGATGGTAATGATGATTATGATGATTACAACGCAGAGGAGGAGGAGAAGGAGGAGAAGGAGGAGAAGTGTGGAGGGGACATATGGCCGCAGTTGATCTCGTCTTCGTCCTCCGTCTTTGGCACGTGGCAGCGTTTCTTCTTCTGATGCTCTCTTTGTAATTGGTCTCGATCTCCGACCGGTGATCGGGGATCCCAACCCGCGATCCGTCGGTGATTCCACAGACGGGGAGAGCCGAGGGCCCGCGCAGCTGCCACGTGGCGTTCAACCGCCGCTGCTGCTGGTGTCCCGACCTCGAGGAATTGCAAAAATACCCCGGCCAGTACTCCTGCTGCTGCTGCTGCTGCTGCTGCTCTGCGCTGCCTGTGGTCCCCGCCTTCGACAAAAAATCGTTTTTTTTTCTTTTTTTTGGCTCTTTGGCCGTCGATAATCCAAGGCGCCGGGAGTATGCTAACGTTCGCGATCCCGTCCGCCGACAACCATGCTGACGCGGCGAGCTCTGTGACGTCAATATTTCTGGCCGGCTTCCTCTTGATGCTAACGGCGGCAGCGTTGCGACTAACGGTGGAGCCATTATTATTAACGGCCGCCTCGAGGTTGAGATGATCCCGACCAAGTCCATGTACGTATAGCTACCGGGGGACGGGATCGCGACGACACAGCTCCGCGACATCTGATGAGCTTGTGGCCATGACTTATAGCTACCGAGGGACGGGATCGCGACGACACAGCTGCGCGACATCCGATGACCCTGTGGCGGAGCAGCTTCGACGCGCATCTACCCTACATGCTGAAGTGGCGAGCAGTGCCTCGTATTCGCTGCATGATGACGTGGCAAAGAAATTGCCTTCACCCTCCTGTCCAGCGTAATAAAAAAGGCCTGAACGGCCGTCCTGTCCAGATTTGACAGGTAATTGAATTGGTTGACAAAACAAACAAAAAAAAACAAAAAAAAACAAAAAAAACAAAAAAGTAACGAAAAAGCTGGGGCCGCTCCAGTCGGGCCGTAAAAGAAAATGGGGACCCCACTGGCCCGTTTCATTCGCAGCTTTCACGTGGGTTTCGGCTGTTTTCGATGGGCGGGTTGATTTTCGGGTCGTAAAAGTAACGAAAAAGCTGGGGCCGCTGCAGTCGGGCCGTAAAAGAAAACGGGGACCCCACTGGCCCGTTTCCTTCGCAGCTTTCACGTGGGTTTCAGCGGTTTCCGATGGGCGCGTTGATTTTGGGGTCGTAAAAGTAACGAAAAAGCTGGGGCCGCTGCAGTCGGGCCATAAAAGAAAATGGGGACCCCACTGGCCCGTTTCGTTCACAGCTTTCACATGGGTTTCGGCGGTTTTCGATGGGCGGGTTGATTTTGGGGCCATAAAGGTAACGAAAAAGCTGGGGCCGCTGCAGTCGGGCCGTAAAAGAAAATGGGGACCCCAGTGGCCCGTTTCGTTCGCAGCTTTCACATGGGTTTCGACGGTTTTCGATGGGCAGGTTGATTTTGGGGTTGGAAAACGGTCCACTTGCACGGACACTACAAAGACCTCCTACGTCGTGCCACACAGCAAACCGAACCACAGACAAACCAGCCCACTGAAACGGACACATATAATTGTCTACCGCGTGGGCACGGGGGACGCAACCCTAAGGTAGCCAAATCAATGAGACTAAGAGCTGGCACAAAAGAGAGAGAGAGAGAGAGAGAGAGAGAGAGAGAGTTTCCATTTGTTGTTATGAGTGTGAGAGAGAGACAGAGACTGAGAGAGAGAAA